ACAACGGTTTCGAGCAAAAATAATGAACAATAAACAGCGAGTGGAGTTATTTATGCATGATGCATGGCGCCGGCACACCTCATTATATCACAAGATTTTATAGGTCCTATTTACATCTTGAATCCCCTAACGAGGACTTCGGACAGAAAAATTTGGATCTCCTTTCCCGAATCTTAGTCCGGCAGGCGGCATACCATGGCAGACCTGAAATCATTACAGGATCTGGATTTGTTTGCATATTTGGATTTCTTGATAGCATTTGCGTCCGCTTACCTATCACTTCACATTGGATTGAAGTGATTGGCTTACTCATCTAGAATCTTGGATCGAAAATCTTTTATCTCTTATCCTGGCTCTCATGGTCCGGCACCCGTGGGCCGTGGGGCCGACCAACCGCCTGACGACCTTTCTCCCATCCCTATCCCCCCACTTCCACTGACCCAAACTCGCCCTGACTGATGACTGTTCTTCCGACCTCTGATATCCAGAAGGCCATGTGAACGGGTGAAAAATCACACCGTCAGGCGCCACCGGCTATCCTCACCGTCCGCGAGCCGCCGTCAGTCCCTCCTCACCTCCTCCCCCCACCTCCCCACCTCCTCCACACAATCCCCCGTCACCGCCCCACCTCTTCCCCTCCCCTCTCCACCGCTGAGCCACCACCGCCACCGAGCCAGGGCGACCACCATCGCCAACTCAATCGTCCTGTCACCAAAGCTACGACAAAGCTACCAGAAGACAAGGCTACGAAATAACAGCGTATGTGAACGATATCTTTGCGGGTTTTGTCGTGCGCTTAAAAACCTCATCCAAGAAAATGTTTGGGTCCACCGAAATCCGCGCGCATTCTGCATTACAATAACGCGAATTCACGTGTTGCTACGTAATAAAGAACATTTTGCAGCACTATGACCGGGCTTATTTAACAATAAATTACAGCAATTTTGGTGCAGTGTGGATGGAAAACAAGTCACGAAATGTTACCACGATTGATCGCTGACTAATTTGACGCAAAAATTGGAGGTTTCACTTGGAACAAAACAAAGGTCTTAAACCCACGAACTCGTCTTTATATTTCTTTCTCTTATTTCTAAGAATATGAGCATTGCGTCCGGCAATTGAACATTTGTCGCTTTGATCAAATGTTTGGAGGTTGTAGCACACCACACACCATGTATAGATATGAAAAAGCCGTTCCTCACAACATAGATGTGTGCTGAATTGTCTGGTAGTATACACCGACGGCGAAAACCACACAAGGCTAACCATCACCGGGAACAAACACAATCCATCGCAAGGGAACAGCAGACACAACTCACAACCGATACACCAAATCCCAAAGCAACACCATACCAGGCAGAAACAGTGGCCGCTGGTTGACTCAGGATCCCACATCGGCTCCGCCTGTACTTGTAGCCGCTCACGGCGGCGGCGGCGGCTATAGACGGTCCCCGTAGCGGCAGGAGGCAGGCCATCCCGCTGTGCTGGGACAAAGCTGCCACCTCTGACACACCCGGGCACACAATGGGGCGACAGTAAACCGAGGATTCATCGGGCCCTGAGGCGGTACCGCGCGCCGGACGCGCCGGACGCACGGCTACGCTAAACAATGGCGGCCGGTGCTAATTTGTCATCGGCGCGCAGCCAGACACGGGACAACACGGGACACGGCGAGGCACGGGACAAGACGAGACACGGGATACGGTGGGACACCGGATACGGTGGGACATGGGACACGGTGGGATAGCACGGGACAAGATGGGAACCGGACAGCAAGGGATACGGGACAAGACAAGACATAGGACAAGGAAAAAACGAGACGCGAGACAGTGCAGGGGCACCGTACAGCACGAGACAAGGGACACGACTACGAGACACTAGACAGGCGAGAAGCGAGACAGGAGACGGGACACGATGAGGCTTGGAAACGCGGGACAGGAGACCAGACAAGACATGAGACACGATGGGACACGGGACAACACGCATAAGAGACACGGCACAAGGCGAGGCAGGGGGCAGCACGGAAAAGAGAACGGATAATACGAGGCAAGGGACATATGGGATACAGAACAAGGTGAGACACGGGACAAAAAGACGGGCCACGGGACAATACGGGATAAAAGACGAGAAACATGGGACAAGAGACCAGCAATGACGAGGAACAAGGTGGGACATGGGGGCAGTCCAAGACGAAGGAGAGCCTGCAGTGTGTTTGATCCACAATGTCCGACCCCCCCCCCCCCCAAGTTACACACTATTGCACTGCTACGCTTAGGTAGAACGTTTTTATCCCTGCAGTGATAAGTTCCTTTGTCATAATCTGGCATCAGATTTGAAAACAGTAAGAAGACACACTCCGTTTGCAAACTACATCCCGTGATCGGTTAACAAGACAGACATTTGTCAAAACATTTGTCAGGGAGGAATGGCAGCGTCGCAGAAAGACCAGAGAAGAGTCCAGCGACCAAGTAGAAGCTACTTCGGTACGCACAACGCATGCTGATAGAGAACACCGCCAAACAGTATTATTGCGAAAGCATGTATAACTAGCTTCGGTTATCGGTATAAAAACGAGCATGTGTCACTGGTCGTTGCGTGGAAACAGTCCAGTCTTCGAGCGCTAATCAAACACAAAATAAACAGTTAGAGATTGACGCAATCCGGTAAAATCTGGTTGTTCTTGGAAACAAGAGCATCAACGCCGAACACACTCGTATGCCATCCCGCTGTACGAAGAAAAGCAGCAAAACTGTTTACATCCATCCTTCGATCGAGACTGCATCATATAGTTACTCACCGTCCCGTTCCGCACACCGTAACGTAACCACGCTCACATCTCATAACGATAACCGCAGCTTATCACCCATGTGACGATAAACGGTTCGGAATTCCGGATGGAAGTTTGTGGCAACCAGGACCGCAACAACCGCTTCCGCAAATCCGCACCGATCAGGTTTATGAGCGCGGCAAAAGCGGATCCTTCCGATGGCGGTTCTCGCTTCATGAAACGGAACGCCACTCGGCTGTGAAAATAATCATCGCCAGACGATTGCGTTTGATCGCTCATTCATCCGCGAAAAACATGATATCGTTGCCAGCATCCCGCTATGAGTACAGCTCACATCGTTTACCCGGCAATGCGTCGCCGTCGGCGGTCGAATGCGAACGACGCAGCCCTTTCACGACGCACTGCCGCTGATCCCAAGCATCAGGGGTGTGCTCGGCACCAGCCGCGGCTGCGTTCGGCAGCAGCCTTGAGCGCGTTCAGCACCGCCAGCGGCTGCGTTCGGCACTGTCTGCGGGTGCGTTCGGCACCGCCAACGGCTGCGTTCGGCATCGTCTGCGGGTGCGTTCGTCGCCCCGGGGATATTCGGCGTGTCGTCGATTTAGCGGTCACGGACGAATCGCGCGACTTCCGCTCGACATGGTGCCGCCGATTAGCTTCCTGTGGGGAAAGAGCGACGGGGGAGGAAGGGAGAGAGGGAGGGAAATGGAAGGAAAGGAAAGATCAGAAGCGGGAAATGAAATGGAACTACCGCAACATCACACGTAGCAATTGGTAAATCACTGCAACGCTTTCATCCGAAGAAATCGGTTTCCGTAAGTGATTTTCAAAAGGCAGGACGAAAGCTTCCCGGGAACTGATCTAGATTGAGTCTCAATGCGAGGTTTACCATCGACACCACCTCGCAGGCGGAGGCAAAGTGGCGTAAACGTGGGTAAAGATGTCTGAGTCCGACTCTGCAATACGACAGGATTCGCAGCCATTGACAAACCTGTTTGTCCGTGTAATAACGCCTTGAAAAGAGACTTCCCGCGCTCCATTTTCAAACCGTTCTCAGACGACTCTGAATTTTTGCTCGACCTTTTTTATCCCTCTAAACCACACCAAGTGATAACTTTGAACGAGAGAGAGACGATGGACGGAAGACTGTGGTCGGCAGTAAGTGAATAGTGGACACTGGGCAGTGAACAGAAGACAGAAGACGGTGGACACCGGGTAGTAGTCGGTGGACGGTGGACGGTGAACTGCAACCAGTGGATGGCGAACGGCGGTTGACGGTTGTCAGTACAGCGGGCCGGGCGGTGAGTGATGAACCACGGGCGATGGACGGTGAACGCTGCCCGGCGGCGGCTACAGGCCCACGCGGCGGTCACGGCGGATCACGACACCGACGGGGCCTAGTTCCGGTGGTGGGCCTTCAAACCCGCCTCGGTTCCAGATCCCCGGCCACGTCAATCGGCCGCGCCAGATAGTCGGATATCAAACACAAGAAAAAAAAAACGGCAGTGGAGGCAACGAAAAAGGAAATAACCCAAGTTTAAGGTAACAAGAGTCTATTATAAGCCACTGGCACTGGCAATGTTCAGCTGATGAAAACGAATAGCCCTCTATAGGGCAGTGGAATAGCGAAAAGGAACAGGTTATGGAAGATTAATCTGCATTCCTTGACCTCATGCCCGGCAAATACGCTCTCTGACCCTTCACATTACCTCAAGACTCATATACTTTGGCTCTAATATTTATCAATTACCTGGTTGCCGGCGCCAGGAAAAGCGTCACGATGCAATATTACTTTGTCTTAGCCCAGGCGGAAGGTGTAGTTATTTATTATTCAGGGGGCCGTAATTTGGCTCCAGGGATGAAGTGGACAGGCTCCATTTTTCATGGTGGTCCACACGAGTGGCAGGTCCGAAAAGAGCGGTCAGATGAGAGAGAGAGAGAGAGAGAGAGAGAGAGAGAGAGAGAGAGAGAGAGAGAGAGAGAGAGGGAGAGAGAAAGAGAGAGAGAGAGAGAGAGAGAGAGAGAGAGAGAGAGAGAGAGAGAGATCCTTTCTGCGCCCATTCTACATCGCCGTTACCAGTCCAGGTTTGTGTCTGAAGTAAGTCGGTGGGACGACTTGACTACCACTTTAGTTTCAATTGATTTGTTTCATATTGAGCCACACTATCCTTTGCTTTCACATCAGAAAGGCAGCTCTATATCGCGCGACACTTACCGTAATGAGTCGAGTATTGTTGCGCGTGTTGGCAGTGACGTTTCTCGTAGTATAGACCCTCTGCTGAAAGACGGGGATCTCATCTTGTCGTCGCCGCCGCCTCCGCACTTCACCACCTGTCAGACACAAAGGTCAAACATGGGTCAGGTGAGGTCACAAACAACTGAGCAATGAATTAGCAATGGCCAGATTGAATTCATAGCCACTTGAAAGGGTATACAACCCACAGAGGATAGCATATATTCTCAATTCTGTTCCATCTAAAGCGAAGTGACTGACTACCCACGCACAAACAAGTTTTGACGCAGCATATACAGGAAGACCTATCTAGCTAATTAAGCCCAAGCTCTAACCAAATTAAGTCCAATGTGCTGGCATAGTGAGTGGGAACACCAAGTCGGATAGAGCACTGGTATAGCGCAGGGAAAGAGCGCGGGAGCATCACCCGCAGTGAGCTCCTCTGTAGTGCTCACTGCTCACAGTCGAAATAGCGGGACCAAAGGAGCGGGAGAGCGGGCGCGCCAGCGAGCAAGGGTGAGGGTGAGGGAGGGAGGGAGACGAAAAAGAGGAAAAATAGAGCGGCGCTCGGACCGGTCGGCCGGCGTGCCACCAGCAATGAGAGCACGGCTCATTACACGGGAAGCCGGAGAGCGGCCGGTGCCGATGGATGTAAACACTCGACCGGATCGGTGCGGCGGACGGTAAAGCGATCACGGTGGCCGGTCGCCGCACACTGGGCCGATCGCCAGGTCTAGCACGACATGGGTAAAAAAATCGGACTTTGTGGATGTGCTATGAAACCTATACCAATTTGTTCAAAAATGATCATACTACATTGCTGTGGTCTTTGTTTTCCAACACAATTGCTATTTCATGGCGAAAACTCAGCTTAAACACGAACTTCGGAATCGTTTGGACCGAACTCGTCCCCCGCACTCTTCGACAGCGTATCTTCGATCCACGAAAACAATCACAATTTGAGGAGGAATTCCACATTTATATGCATCAAACGATAGCTCCGGGTCTGCAGAACACACATAACCACATGAAAATGGCGAACTCTTACTTGGTTATGATGTATTTGTACCACAAAGATTTAAAGACGAAAATATAATTTCACATAATTGATATCACACACAAATAGACTTTTAACCCGCGACCTGGTGGGGGGGGGCTATTTTTTGCCCCCCTCAAGACTTTTCGATATATCTCCAGAACCACTGCGCCGATCGTCACCAAACTTTCAGTACCCTCCCGGACATCAATTTTACACATTGTGACCAAAAATTTTTCCAAAGGCTATGATAGGTTGGCCGTAAATGACGTCAGAGTGACGTCATGTTCTGCCGTTTTCGACCTAAAAAAGGGTTTCGCGGGAAGAGCTGTCAGGCCTATAGCTTTGCAAATACAGAAAAATGATACGGACATAAAAGCTGTAGAATGGACAGTGCTACAAACCTGCTATCTCGGATTTTTGAAATTTTTGGATTTTGACCCCCAAAAATCAAAAAATAGATTTTTTGAATATAATAGCCAAAAAATCCAAAAAGTTTTTTGAATTTCGAAAAAACGGAATATATATGATAGTCCTAACCGCCTTCTATCTACATACCAAATTTGAGATCGATACCTCTTTTTTTGGCCAAGTTATAGCGAAAAAACTGTTCAAAATTGATGACGTCAAATTTTCAAACTCAATTTTCAGCAATTCTAGACCTCGTAGCGCAAAACAAAGACCACCATTAGACTCCCCGTGACGAGCTGCATCGAATCAATACCCATTTTATGCAAAAATATCAACTTTGAAATTTGACCTTTTTTGACCTGACCTTGACCTGACCTCCACCAGAAAGTGACCTAAACCGTACCTGATGGTCTTATAACCAACACCATTGAGTTGGAAATGAAAAACTGGCCATAAAACATGCATCGCATAACCTTAGTAAAGTTGGGTTCATGTGGTGACCCTTGGTGACCTTTGGTGACCTGACCTGTGACCTGACCTGGTATGACCAGTGACCTCTAACAGCAACATATCTACTAGGCAACTGACGCCCTATCGCTGATTCCCGACAAAATGCGTTTTCCTCGGTGTTAGAGCGCATTCCCTAGAAGACCCGTGAACGGTGAAACATTTCATCTTTGACCTGACCTGTGACGTCATCGGTGACCCCGAGGTCAATAAAATTTGGTTTCCCACGGCAAATTTGACAGGCCTTTCGAACGCCGTTTGAATTTTTCGGATCCGTTCAGTAGTTTCGGAGATACGAGGGGGGGGGGGCAAAAAATAGCCCCCCCCCCCCCACCAAGTCGCGTTATAAACAGACCCCACCAGGGCGCGGGTTAAAAAAAGTACCGCAAAGTACCGCTTCGAAAATCTCGCTACATGTCAATGAGTCATTGCACTACAAGATCTAACAGTCATTTCTTGCGACTTTTTGCGACTTTGGATGTAGCAGCCAAACATCAACCCGCGCCGGACCGGTGCTCGGCGTCAAACGCGCCGGGCCGGGAGGTGTTGATTGAATGCACTCCCCTTCTAACTCGGCTCATGGGCCACATAGCGACACGTAGTAAGTGGCATTCGAAAGAGCGCCCAAAATTCCAGATAGCGTAATAAGTCATTTCTAGGTCAGGTCAAAGGTCACGTCACCAGAGGTCATCAAAGGTAAAATGTTGCATATAACAACATTTCTCGAAACACCGGCCCTTACCTTGGGGACCAATAGAGCTACATCGTCGCAGAAAAGTGCATTCAATTGCTCTTTTAGCGATCTTTCTGAAATAAGCCCTCAGATTTGGCTTAACCCTCGCCCCTAGTGGTGTTTTTCCAGCCGCGAACGTATAGAAGGGGTCCGCTAGACCCCCCTGCCGTTTCGCCCCTGGTCGAGCTAGAGCTTTCCGGAAAAGACGAGCGTGTTGCCCGTGACAAGAGAAAGCTGATGATACCCATTTGTAAGGCCCTAGGTCATCGGTTGATCTTCCAGGTCAGGTCAATGACCCAAAAGTCGGGAAAATCGGGACCAAATAGAACGTCGTAAAGGGTGACTGCTATGGGTTTTTTGGGTGCTGATCACGAATATAATGTTATTTATGATCATAGATGATGTCTTCATACATTTAGGCCAGGTCGGGTCGGGTCAGGTCAGGTCAGGTCAACCAGTAAGGGTTTTGCCGGGCATTTGTAGTAGGTGGCAACCGCCTCTGACAGCTTCGTAACATGTTACGAAGGCACCAAAGCTACATAGTAAATGTTCAAATGGTTGCTAGATTCGAATTCAGCTCAAAAAACTAGCCTATAAACATGTAAAACTCGAAAAATTGACCCAAGGTCATCAAAGGTCAATGACCTTACCTGACCTTCTGGTGACCTTGACACCCACCCTAATGCATGGGAGCAACATGATACCCCATGCTTGAACGCTTTAAACCACGAAAAGACTGCAAACTCGCGGCTAATGCGAGCCGACATACGCTGAATCGCGATTCCGGCCAAACATGGTCTCAAAAGAAGGTCACGGGTCAAAGATCATTAAGGTCAGGGTCATGAAATTTTCATGTTAGCTGTGAAATTAATTATCGCGAGAGTACTGAAAGTTTCGTTGCGATCGGCCGCTTTTTACGCGAATTACTCGCGAAAAACCGAGGATTCCGTTCGAAGATACAGGCCCTGTCGCGCTAGAATGGCATATCGGCCCACTGTGCGCCGGTCGGCGGTCGGCGGTCGGGGAAGCAACTCGGGTGAACTCAGCCGGTAAATGGTCGAAACCGCGGCTACACGGGCCGACAAGGGGTGAACACCGGCCAGCACGGGTCTGGCACGGGTCTGACCGGGGTCTGGAAAAGGTCTGATACAGCCTGGTACGTGTCTGATGAGTCTGAGATGGGTCACACACACGACTGGTGGCTTTGGAATATAAGTGTAACTTTTCGTCTCATCGAACTGTTGCTAACCAGACGATAGACCCAATACCAACTGTACCATAAATAAGTACATTGGTCCATCTAATGAGCTGTAAACTCTGAGTTTCAATCTGTGAGCCAACACAATTTGTAACTAAGCGTCAACGATGGGAAATATTCCTTTCCACGAATCAGTCATCAAAGAGCGCAATAAGAAAACAGTGAAATGGAGAATGAAGAAACAATTGCATTGCAATAATTTCCTTCTCTGTTTCGTTGAGCTACGCTTTTTTATGATAAATTGCACTGTGCCTTATGGTCATTTGCAAAAGCACATGGTGGTCACTCTAAAAAAATACGACCACAAGGAGCAACTCTTCACCCTGGCGTAGTTCAACTTATGCTAACGAGTCCTGGGCGAGCAGCCAGCCAAGAAATGTTGCACGATCTCTCAGCCCTGCACCTGGATGAGTCAGCCTTTTTACGTCACCGTCTGCATGTATGTCGCTTTGTGTCACCGGCCCTAACAAGCAGGGAGGGGTACTCAGGGGAGGGTTTTGAACTCTGACCCTGTGCAGAAATGGTGCCGGAAATTGCAGGGGCTGATTGTCATCTAGTCGGGGGGTGCGGAAGGGGGAGGGGTTGTCGGAGGGGGCAGGGTGACCCCCGAGGGACCAGTGTGCTGTTGGGACATCACATCTGTAGTCGAAATAGCCTGGACTTCCGTCCAGCAGCGCTCGGCCGTGCAGTTGGGGCCGCCACGGACACTTCCCATGATTATCACTCGCTATGCACATTTTGCAAAAGTAGCCCACTTGCAGCTTATGAGTCATTCCTGCATATCCCGCAGACGCTTTGCCTTCCGACTTCCGTCATTTCGCTGCCACAAGAGGCTTGAAATCAACAAGCAGGTCACGAAACAGGCTATGTGGGCACACAGCTGTCAGCCTTTAAAGTAAATTTGTAAGCAATACTAATATCAGCTCCTAAAATTGACAATTTACCAAAGAGTGACCGTTCACCCAAAACCCTTCTTTACCCAAGATGACTTCATACTTCATATCGCTCATTTAATCGGATAATCTTCGAAAACTACCAGCCGTTTTGCTGTAACCGCTTTATAGTTGATCTTATCGTCATCAAAACCAGCATAACCCTCTTTACGATACTCGTCTTCTTCAAAGCTAACCAATAACGATTCATCAAACGTCCA